AAAAAAAAAAAAGTTGTAGTTTATGGACACATTTAAATATTATTTAGCCGTAACAAAATTGGACTCTTGCCACTTTCAACAATATGAGTGGACATTATGCTAAGTGAAAGAAATCAGAGAAAGACAAATACCATATGATCTCCTTCTATGTAGAAATTTTTTAAAAAGCTCATAGATACAGGAATATATAGGAGGTTGCCAGAGGCAGGGAGGGGAAGGGGCAAATAAATGGCTGAAAGGAGTCAAAAGGTACAGATTTCAATTATAAAAAAATAAGTAACAGGGATATAATGTACAACATGATGATTCTAGTTAATAATTGTGCATTGCATATTTGAAAGTTGCTAAGAAAGAGGGGAATAGGATCAAAACTGAGGCAGGAATAGCACCGGACTACAGTGATGACACATGGGTGGACTGGTGGTGGGAAGTCTATGGGGATTATAACTGATATGAAAAAATGTAAAAATTCTCATCACAAGTAGAAAAATTTATAGCTATATATAGTAATGAATGTCTAATAGACTTAGTGTGGTGATCACTTCTCAATATATGAAAATCACTAGGTCATACACCTAATGACACTAATATAATGTGATATGGTGATTATACCTCAAAAAGAAAAAAAAGGGAAAATGAAGTAAAACAGAACATTTGTCTATATGGAGTTAAACGGAATGTGGTTGTTCACTTCTAATGATAAAGTATATATAAGTTACACTTAGGTAGTTTTCAATTAACTTTTTGTTTTTATAAGGATAATGTGCTTTGGTTTTATAGAAATGGAAGGATTTCATGATACAATAAATAACAAATCTTACAGTTTTTTTTTCTATTTATCACGGTGCTGCTAAAGAGAATGATGCTATTGTCTTTCTTTGTGAGAAAACTCTCTGTTCTCTAGTTTTACAGGCATCATTAATATTGTTTGTCAGTTATTGTCCAACAGCAGTGTGCAAAGTTAGGCATGAACAATCAAGGCAATAAATGTGAGGATAAAAAAAAAATGAGCAGGTATTTTCACTGGTTGTGTATTTCCTCCCAAGAATAACCTATTCAGTGTGTCTCATGCATTCAGTCAGAATGTGTATTCACTTCTTGGCAATTCTGATGATTCTGCTTCTCTCCCTACCACCTATAAATCAACATTTCTATCTGTGCCTCTTATTGCATCAGCACCAAATTGGAATCACCTTCCTTCTTTCTAAATCACTGACAGTTGCTCTCCTTCATCCACCTTGACTAGGTCAACAGGTCCTATAAATTGCTTCATAAGACATACTCATGTCTTTTTTCTAATCATTAGAGTAATGCTCACATGTTTCAGGTCTCCTTCATTTCTTTCCTATATCCTTAGAAAAGTCAAAATACCTCTAATTTCATTCCAACTATCCCATAAACTTCTGCCAGACAGACACGTGTGTTTGCTTATGAAGACTAGTATAAACATAACCTTCTCTCCGTTTTCAATGTAATGAAAACTATTCTATTTGATTACAGTGTTGAGGAATAAATAAAAAGAACACAAGTGACTAGCAACCTTCTCCCTTTAATTCAACCCAAAAGAGTACTGCCTTGAATTCTCTTTATGTTTGTGCTTGGTTTGAATTTTCTATCTCTGCAAAAGAATCTATAGGACATCAGCTTGGGAAGCAGTATCATATGGTGCCCATATCCCTGCTGAGTGAAACCTCTGGGTGGGCATATCCCTGCCAGACTGGATCCTGCAGTGCCCTTAGTGGTGACAGGGTCTACTGAGCACCCTAAGGGAGGCATAGCCCACCATGCCTCTGTCTCCTTCACCTTTTCTCAGGAGGCCTGAGCAGGAAGGTAACAAGATAACTGCACAGAACCCCACATCCAGGGGTAGGAGAGCTGGCACTCAACCTCCTGCGGGGTGCACTTCCTACTGAAATTACGGGCTTGGGAGAGCTGACTTGGGTCTTGCAAGGCAAAATGTCTATGTTATCCAGAGGATACCTCACAAGGAATCCAGCATGAACATTAACCTCTGTAGTCATACAGATGGTGGCCTTCCAGGAGTTGACAGCTCTCTTCTCCAAATCAAGGCTCTTCTGGAGGACTTGGCAAAGCCCCCGTGTACTGAATGTCCAATCACTGGTAGACATGACCTCCTCTGCTGGCAGCACTTCCTCCCTGCTGCAGCTATTTAATAAGGTTTCTTACTCATTATATTGTGTGCTACCATTTTTGTTTAAACCACACATAACTTTTCTTGTACTTAGAAGATTGCATATCTATTCTCTGTATTTCTATTCTCATATCTATCTTCTGCAAGGAAGCCTGAGTGGGCTTTCACAGCAGAAGTGTAACTTGTTTACAAAGACATGTACTTGCAGAATCCTCCACAAATGTGTATCAATCAAGCTATGTAGAATATATGAAAGAAAATGTGAAGGCAAATTACACTAAATATAGAACACTTATTAATTCCTGAAATAATGTTATGAGAGTAAGAACCTCATTTTACACACAGAGAGAAGGTTTTATAATAAAATATCTAGAAGCATTAACACTGAAATTCCATTACAATTAAAAAATGCCTCTTAGGTTTTAATAAATAGTACCAGATGCTTTCCTATGTGACGAGTAAAGCCAGAAATTTGCAGAAAACATGGTTAGAAAAAACAACATGCCAAAAAATAGTACAGGAAGAAGACACTAAAGATTGTCTGCTTAGATAATAGGAACATAATAATGAAGAACAATGTAAAATACATGAAACAGCTAATAGGAAAGGAAGAACCAAAATTATAAATAATAGTATCAATAATAACAATAATAATAACCACTATTTACTGCTTATTACATGCCAGGCCCTGTGCACAAGTTCTATTATCTTATCTCATTTCAATCTCATTATTATCACTTACCCCATTTTGAAGATGAGGAACCTTGACCTGGAAGAGCTAATTAACTGAAACTGTGAAGTCACACACAGGCCTTAAAGTCTAACACTGGAGCAGAAGCTCTCATCTATTATACTAAAACGGAGAGCATTCTTTACCCGTTGTAGGGAAAGTGGAGGGGCTCAGGCTCTTTCTCTTCTGGTGCTGGTCTCTATGCTGCTTCCTGCAGCTTCCCCCCAGGTTCCTCGCCTGCATGTGATAACGTGCTATTGCAAAGGGCGCTTGGCAGCCGGAGTGCCATGCACTCACGCCTGTGATTACGGACATCTGGGCCCAGAGGCGTGCGCGTGGCTGCCTCCCTTCTTGCTGATCAGCCTATATCTGGCCCTGTGCTTCAGCTTAAAAGGCTTATCAAATCTATGGAAGGCTGCAAAATTCTCTTCAGCAGAATCAGCAATAAGCTTGCTTGCCCTGCACATACTTGCCATGTTTGATCATGCTCCAGCCCCTTGTGGAAGGTGGGTATCATATCAGAACCCAACTCCACTTCAATAGCAGCAGTTAGATGAGACTAAATTTTGTGGTCATACTCTTGGGATTCTGACAGCTACAGGTGATCTTTTCCTGATGGGAATCTATGTTTCCCATGACAATCCTCTAGATAAACCCCAGGTTCATAACTAAGAATCAGACAGCAAGTTATTGCTGGAAATGGGAGAGAATTTTCCCATCACTTAGGCTAAAAGGCAAATGATTATTGTTTTCCTGATAAAAGAAATACATTGAAATGATTTTGGTGGAAATTGATGAGCTGCTGCTGAGTAGCTTGCTCGGGCTTTTGCACAATTGGCCTCTGTGACTATCACCTCAGCCTGAATGCAGGAGGCACTTGGGAGTGTGGTTTGCAGGGTACACGTGCCTGCCTGATGGCACACACCTGGATTATGATGTCTGTGTGTGTATGTGTGTGCATAAGTGGACACACCTGAACTGAGCAACGGACTATGTGGGGAGAGGGGCAGGAGCAGAGAACAGTGCAGCAGAGAGTGGTAGAGAGGCCATGAGAGAATATGAGAGGCCAAAGACTAAATATTCGCCTCTCAGCCTCTGGGCACCTCATACCAGCTCTGCTCCCCACTCCCCCCATCCCAATCCCCTGCCCTGCAACTGGTTGCCTCACTACAAATGGTGTAGGAAGATCCCTAAAAGCCTAAAAAGCCACTGAGGGCTCCAAGACGCTCCTTTCCTGGTCTCCTAAATCAAGAGCAAAAATGCCTGGTGCTTTGCTGCCACAACCCCTGCTGCTATTGAAGTGGAGTTGGGTTCTGATATGACACCCACCTTCTACAAAGGGGCTGGGGCATGATCAAACATGGCAAGTATGTGCAGGCAAATGATTATTGAAAGTGTCCACCCATTTGGAGAACAGGGACAAGAATAAGGATTTGCGCAGACGTGTAATTAATTCTCAAGTTGCTGAGGCACCTACAGGAGAAGGCTGGGGCCCAGGCAGGCAGATGTCTCATGAGAGTCAATGGGCGCAGGAGCATACCTGTGTACACAAAGCAGAGAAACCTGTGCTCAGTGTGTGCCAAGAGCAGCAGTTGCCTTACCTGTGAACATTATGATAAAACAATTTGATTCTTGAAAATAAATATGATATTACTTTTATTTGTAGGTTGTAGAGCTCTAGATGTTTGAATCACATTAATCATATTAATATCTGCTTTAAGAGCTCTACTACCTCCCTATTCTGCAAAAGAAGTCAAATTGCTAAGCACGCCACAAACAAGGCGATTCAGCCCTATAGCTAATGTTCTCTTCACAGCCCCTCCTGAGCATTTTTCCAGTTGTGCTGTTCTCTCTTTTGCCTCTGGACATATGATACTGCAACTGTATAAATTTACTTTCCCAACTTTTCTCCTGGTGTTGTCTCTGAAACTGTTTTCCTTGGATCCTAGCTCAAACAGTCATCTTTTCTGAGACAGCTTCGTGACTAGAATTCAGCCTATATATCCATCTCTATGACTCCTTGAAATCCAGTGGAGATTTATTCTCCAGATGCCTCATTCTGTACTGCTAGGAGATGCTTACTGTTCCTTTCCTACACCCCATGCTCCCAGAGGCAATGGTGTCTGGGTGAAGGAATGACCATCTGTCCCCTTGGCCAGTCATGCTGAGTCACACCACTCCAGACCTGACACATTTGCATATGCCCTTTTTCTTGTGAAAGTCATGTAGGTTTGAGACTGGTTCTTGATTTAACTTGCAGACATCTGAAAACAATTGAAATTAGAGAGACGAACGCAAAAGAATTTAAGAAGAAAAGGTTGACAATATTTTCTATTCCTTTCTTGATGATAGTCATTGAAATTATGGCTGATTTCTTCATATATTATGTGAATTATATTAACAGTACTTAGAACATGTCTGAATGTTTGTAATATAGACATATTACTTACTGCATCCAGCCTAGCTGCTAAAGTTGTGTCTTTTTATCTCCTAAATGGATTTTCTCATAATAAACACTCTTAATTCTCCTCTTTCACTGTCCCATCCCCAAGGAGATAATTTGCTCTTAAAGAAGGTGCAGAAATTGAAATGAATGAGTGTACTTTGGGAAATCAAGATTTGATTAATTCTCCTAACTCATACTACTTATGACGGCACAGCTCCATGTAGAGGTCTGTCAGATCTTTTTCTGGCATTGTTATCATATACACAGAGTAGAAACATGGACTGACCTAATAATGAAATTTCATCAAGATTTTAAATGAATTAGATCACAATAACCTGAAAGAGATTAATGTTTGCTTTTGAACTTAATGTTTTCCTCAGTCTGTTTTCACCAGAAGTTTTTGTCCTAGTTTTTATGATCTATTTTAAGTTACCATGGAGAGTACCCACTAGTCTTTCTGTCTCACTGTGTACCAATTCTACTACTTTGCTGATTTTCATTACATAAAAATAAATATGGAGAATGACTCACCAATGGTGTTGACACCCTTACACACCCAAGTCTCTTAATTATGAAATGGAAGTTTTATTTCTATATACATTTAACACTCTGCTAACAGCTTTTTTGCTACCAATGATTGAATATTGTTCTTGTTTCATGTTCTGTACAATTTTGTTTCAAATATGTGCCTGAAAAATATTAAGGTTTTTATTACTTACTCAGTGCACACCCAAATCAATTGTAACAGATATTTCTATGCCATCAGCCTCTCTGTCAAGATTTAATTTGAAAGGATTGTTTTACATTTTTTCTTTTTTGAATAGTTCACATATTCAAAAAAAGCTTAGAAATATTAAACACACTCAACAAAAGTGTTTTTACAAGTAACTATAATAAAACTAGCAGCACTAATAGAGTAGAAATACAGTAATGTAAATGTCAGAAAGACTGTTTTGAATATTTTATATATAAAACTCACTCACACTATTTTTCATAAGTCACATGATTGTTTCCATATCTATAAACCAAGAATAACATACTTCGCTTGACAACCAGGAAGTTGAAGGGTCTAATGACAATATTGTATATGAAAGTGTTTGTATACTACACTAATGAAAGTTATTTCTAACATTATCACTACTATTATCATCATAAGAGCTAAAAAATAATAGGAAAAATATAGAGATAACCAGTTTGCATAAAAGTCATTAGTAGTACCTATTACCTAGTCAATAATCCATGTTTTTAACTTAACAGTCAGGGAAAAATATATTAAATACATGAAAAGATGCTTAACATCATTAGCTATCACAAAAATGTAAATCAAACCATAAGGTGTCACTTCATACTAATAAGACAGCTTTAAAAAAATGATAGACAATAACAAGTGTTAGTGAGGATGTAAAGAAATTAGAATCCCTGCACATTACTGGCAAAATGTAAAATGATTTAACTGTTTTACAAAACAGACCCCACGGTCTTCAAAATGGTGCAGATAGAGTTAAACATATGATCTAGCTACTCTACTCCTAGTTAAGACAAACACATTTCTATATAAAAATTTGTATACAAAGGTAATAGCAGCAATATTTATAATGGACAAAAGTGGGAAGAATCCAAATGCCCACCAACTGTTGAATGAACCCACTGTGATATAACCAAACAATGGAATATTATTTAGCCACAAAAAGAACTGACATATTGAGATATACTACAAGCAGGGATGAATCTAAAGCACATGCTAAATGAGAGAAGCCAATCACAAAAGAATATATTTTGTCTATGATATGTCAGCAAAAGCAAATTTATGAATTAGCATATTGCTTGCTAGGACAGAGAAGGATTGGGATGGAATGGGCTGATAATGGTGATAGTTTTATAATTCTATGAATATACTAGTAACCACTGAATTACACAATTTCATTGCTGAATAAATGTGGTATATAAATTATATTTTAGTGAAAATGCTAGCAAATATATAGCAAAAAAAAAAAAGACCAATATATTATACAGAATATAAGTAGTATATACCTACTGGCATATTTCCAACATATAAAAATATGCTCTTTTTCCTTTTGGCACCAATTCTTTTAAGAAAACAAAGTCTTTGTTTAAAAAAACAAAATAAGCGAGACTTCAAATTTCTCACCTTCTGTAGAAGTAGCCACTACCATAAGGTTGGTGGGCTTCATTGCCATGTGTGTTTTTCCCTTTTACTATTTATGAATATATTCATAAATAAAATATGAATATTTTAAAATGTTTTTTACATTTTACATGAGTGGTATGATTTCAAATCTTGATTTTTACATTTAGGATGGTATTTAAAATTTTAAAATACATCCATGTAAATATGTGTTGACCTAGCTCATTCATGTAAATTCTGTATAGTATACCACTTTGTTAAAATAATCTGGATAATTCACCCATTGTTCTGGAGAAAATTCATTTTCCCTAAACTTTCACTTTAACAAAAAATACTTGGAAAAACCATTTCTTGAACATGCTTCAATGGGCATGTTTACAGATATTTATCTAGAGGATGATACTTGAAGTTAAAAGTGTCTGGATTAGGGGTTATGAACATTGTAAGTAAGTATAAGTTAATTTCTTTTAAAAAAAATTTTATTTAAAATGAAACTAGATTACTACCTCACACCATACACAAAAATCAACTCAAAGTGGATTAAAGACCTGACATAAAAACAGCATAAAATACCTGGAAGCAAAGATGGCCAAACATTACACGACATACACTTAGCGACATCTTTAAAGATAGAGCACCCGATGCAACGATAGCGAAGACAAGGATAAATAGATGGGACTACATCAAGTTAAAGAGTTTCTGTACAGTAAAAGAGACATTACAAAAGGCAAACAGACATCTCACTGATTGGGAAAAAATTTTCTCACACAAAACAAGTGGTAAAGGATTGATCACAAAGATATACAAAGAACTGATGAAACTCAACAAAAATAAACAACCCCATCAAAAAATGGGCAGAAGAGCTAAAAAGACACTTCTCCAAAGAGGAAATGCAGATGGCCAACAAGTATATGAAAAAATGTTCAACATCACTTATAATAAGGGAGATGCAAGTTAAAACCACAATGAGATAGCACCTCACCCCAATGAGAATGGCACATCTTAAAACAACTAGTAACAACAAATGTTGGCGAGGATGTGGAGAAAAAGGAACTCTCCTGCACTGCTGGTGGGAATGCAAACTAGTACAACCACTATGGAAAATTGTTTGGGGTTTCTCAAACTGTTTAACAAGGAGCTCCCATATGACCCAGCAATCCCACTCCTAGGTATCTACCCAAAAGACACAAAAATGCTGATTCAAAAAGATACTTGCACCCCTATGTTTATTGCTGCCTTATACAATTGGAAAGACATGGAAACAACCCAAATACCCAAAAGTGGATGACTAGATTAAAAAGATGTGGTACGTATACACAATGGAATATTACTCAGCAACCAGAAAAAAAGAAACGCATGTCTTTTGCAGCAACATGGATGGAGCTGGAGAAGATGATGCTTAGTGAAATAAGCCGGAAAGAAAAGGAAAAATACCAGATGGTTTCACTCATAGCAGGAGTATAACAGACCAGGCGAGAACATAATAATAATAATGAACGGCCATATACCAGAGATATTTTATGGGGGTTGAGTGGGGAATGGGATCAAGAACAGTGAGGGGTGGGAAAGGCACTGGACTATGGTGATGGCACAGGGATGATTTGGTGATGAAAAAATGCACAAAATGATGTAAAAATAAACTATTATGTTCTAGAAAAAATTATTTATTTTTGCATACAGAACTGGGGGTGCAGGCCAGAGGTGCAGGGATGGTGAGAAGACTCATCAGAGACAGAGTAGGGAGTTTGAACAGACATACTGACAAAGTACACTGCTGAGGGGAGCAACGGGTGAGTCAGGAGAGGTCTGTCACACCGTGTGGATCACCTCTGGGGCTGGTTATCAAACTGAAGCATCAGGGCTTGTTTGCACTGCTGCGCTTTAACCTGTTGCACCACCAGATAGGGCCAAGTATAAGTTAATTTCTAAAACATTTGTATTAATTACATCTTTGCTGACAGTGTTAGAAGAATTCTACTTTCTCCTACTCTGGTCATGACTTAGCATTATTAACCATTCAAATTTCTGCCAATGTAATGGTAGTAAAATAATACTTCACTGTATTTTCATTTTACCCGTTTTATTGAATTTTAAGATGTGTTAGTGAACATCTTTTGATGCACTTCTTGACTTTCAGATGTTGTTTCTATAATTTTCCCTCATTCATGACTTGTTTTCTTATTTGGTTATTTATCTGATTCTTTATTTTTTAAAAAAGATTTAGTTATGTAAGCATGCAAGAGTTGGGAGGTGTGGGGGGCAAGACAGAGTGGGGAGCAAAACAGGCCGATCTACTGAAATACATTGCCATTGGAGCAGCAGGTGAGACAGGAGAGGTCTGCTGTGCCATGTGGGTCACTGCCCTGGCCAGGGATTAAAATTGTGCTGCAATGGCTGAGATAGCTTCATAGTGCTGAGACTTAACCCCTTGTACCACCAAGGAGGCCCCTATCTGATTCTTAGTGATTTGTGTGAACTCACATATATTGTAGTTTGTAATCCTCTTAGATATGTTTCATAAAGATCTCCCAATATTGATTTGGTTTATAAGTTTTTCAATAACATTTTTGATGTTTCTAAGAAATAATGTGATTAATTAAAGGTAGAATTTTATAATCACTGCTAACTCATGAATGGGAAAGGGTATCAGATGATGATATAAAAAGTAGCTTCAGATGATTCATCTCCTTGTCAATCCTTAGGACTTTTGCAACATGGCCCAAGAAAGCATTCCCAAAAAGACCATAGCTACAAATCATATGCAACTGTACCAAGTTTAGAGAATTTCAATTGAAATCAAATGCATGGGACTATGGTGATGGCACATGGGTGAATTGGTGGAGGGGAGTTCACAGGGATTACAACTGAGTTGAAAAAATGCACAAAATAAAGAATGATGTAAAATAAATAAATATATTTTTTAAATTAAAAAGAAAAGAAAAGAAAAGAAAATCCTCATTCAACCTAAAACCTTACTTGAGTTACACTGCCAAACAAAAACTTGCTTTGGCAATCAATACGGAGAGTCGAGAATCCAGATTTGGTTTCAGAATTGATGAACAAGGCATTAAGATTATAAGAACACACGGTGATGACTGAAAGTGGAAATAGAGATGGTGTTGTGGTTCTTCACTTCCACTCAGCTACTCCCTCATCAAAGCATTTACGAAGAACCCTTTTCTGGGACTGATTCCAGAGAGCAACTTGCAAAAGAAATTGAGGTTCCAGAACCAAGAATCTAAATTTGGTTTCAAAACAGAAGAGTAGATTCCAAGCCCATAGGAAAAAAGAAGCTGATATGCACCTAGAACCAGAAAGATATTTGAGATAAAAGAGATCAAGGTACAGAAATCACACAAAGTGGCACAGTACTGGTGACTGTCTTTCTTCTTTGAAAACAGGACAGTCTGGATAGTAAGACAAATGTGATGTTTTATCTCACTAACCTAAGCTCCACATCTCTTTTACTCAGAACATATCCTTCTAAATGTACTTTCAGTTTTTCAGAAGCTGAAACTTCTGGGTAGTTAATAGGACTTTAAGAAGCAGACAGATACGAGACACTACATAGCTCTAGACTGTCAGTCCATCTGCAGAGTTTAGATCTCAAGGACAATGGAAATAAATCTATAACATCATTTTGCAGTCATCACAGTGATGACTGATCCAGGCAAAAACCTTTAATGTTTTTTTTCATATATTGAAAAAATAAGTAAATAACATCTTTATCAGATGCAAGTTTAAAAACTGTTCATCAATAAATTCAACAATATATTTCTTTATGGTTGACACTTTTGGTGAAATAAGCATATTTTGCTATGTATTGGTAAGCATATTGAGGTGTCTCATTTATCACCTATGTATTTAATTACTGGAAATTTATTTTTTATAAAATATTTGTGTGAAATAGAGAAATAGTTTCTCCTTTTCTCTAAGTAGCCACTTGTCTAAGAATACTTTCGTTATTAATTAATAACAAACATCAATCTCCTTGTGTGGATTTTTGTCTGTTTCTGGATTATTAATTTTCTTCCCTTGGTCTACTTATCTTTCTTTTAATACAGTACAGCTTTAATTACTGTTCTACACAAAAAAATCTTGCTATATTACCATTTAGTTTTAGAACTTGTCAGCATTGGTTAGGCCAGTCATGGAATAAACAGGGCCAAAATATTTAGGGGAAATAAATGTCTCAATGATAAATTATTTGGCATTGTTTCTGGTATATTACTTGGAGTCATTCACAGTGGTCCATGTTAGTGATATGTGCAACTATCTGAAAATGTTTGAATCATAGCCAAATGCTATGATTTTGGTCTACAAAGAAAACTGCCTCTAGACTGTGATATCTGCTATGTAGAGGGTCTTCAATCACAATTGTATGGAACTCCATTTAAACAGTGCAATGAGAAATCCATTAGAATCTTTTTTGATTTTATAGATAATATAAAACACTGTGTGCATGGAAAATTATTTTAAAGGCAAAAACATTTTGGAATAGTAAAACATTAATCATAATATGTGTTTCTATGGTGCTTGGTAAACATCTACATAACTTTACATTTTAGAGTTCCTGCAAAAAAAATATTGAATCTACTGAAACATACAAACAGAAATCTTGAGAACATGAACAAACTCTTACCATAGTAGTAATTAGCACTAGGAAAATGACAAGATTTTTAATACTAAGTTCTCAATAATTTCCTGTTGGGGAAGTTGATATGCATGTGATACCATTAATGAAAACTCAACATTTCTCAAACTGAAACACAGCAGTTTCTGCACTCAGTTTCCTCACTTCTGTCATTGGGGAAATCATATCTTTTTAATTATTGGTGACATATATACTTAAAAGCTTTATCTATGTATCCAGAGCTGGGGCACAGGGCAGAGGTGTAGGTGAGGATTCACTGGAGAAAGAGCAGGAAGTAGAACAGGAGGACTGACTGACATACACTGCTGAGGATAGCAGTGGGCAGGCCAGGGGTGGTCTGCCATGCCACGTGTGTCACCTCCCAAGCCAGGGATCAAACTCATGCTGCAGTGGCTGCTATAGCTCCACAGGGCTGTGCTTCAACCCTCTGCGCCACCAGGGAGGGCCCAACATATCATTATTTTATATTCTTGCTTGTTTATTCACAATATAAGGGATTTTTCCCCTCAGATGTGACCACCACGGTCTTCCCACCATCAAAGCATCTGTAGTCTTCCACGATAGTCCATCATGCTGTCCTGCCAAATTGTTTTTTCCCTTTCCCCTCTTGCTCATTCTTTTCCTTCCCTCTCTGGATGCCTTAGATCTATGGTCAGCTTTCAAGGACTGGTTTTAAAGTTTGTCTTTGTCTGAACCTTTGTTTGGTTTCTTTGTATTCCCCATATAACTGACACCATCTGGTACTTATCTTTCTCCTCTGGCTCACTTCACTTCAGATAATCCCTTCCAGTTCTATGGTATCATTATCCTGAGCATTTGCAACATTAAAAATGGAGTTATCCTTAATTAATTTTACCTTTGTATAGCCATCTATGGTAGGCAGAACAATGACTTGGGCCACACACACACACACACACACACACAAAGAAAAGAAACAACTTCTATTTCCTAATCCCTCAAACCTGGGAACATGTTATGTGAAATGGCAAGGCAGGCATAAGGTAGCAAATGAATTAAGGCTGCTTATCAACTGATTTTACAATGAAGAAAACACCCTGTTTGTTTGGGTAACCTAATAGAGTCACCAAAATCCTTTAAGTGTTGAAGAGGGAAGAGAGGAACAGCTTCAGAGAATCTCATAGGCCAGTTCTGGCTTTGAAGACCTTAAGGAGTTACAGGAAATAAAGAAGGGGCAACCTCTAGGAAATGGAAACGACAAGGAAACAGATCCTCTCCAGTGCCTCCAGAAGGAGCCCAGGCCTTCCCACACTCCTGCCCTTCCAGAGCAGCTAGACAATAAGTGTTTGTTGTTCTAAGTTGTCAAGTTTGTGGTCATTTGTTAAAGCTGCCACAAGAAATGAATACACCAGGCAATCACCAATCACGTCTTCACTGGTTCTTACTTTACACTTCCTCTCAAATGTCTCTTTCATCTCAATTTCAAATGGCAGTATCTAGTTCAGGCCTCTAGTTGTTAGGTCCGGATGTTGCAATAGATTCCCAGAAGTGATACAGGGAAAACAGTCCTAAAATGTCAGTAGAGATGCCTGTGTTCTACTCTTGCTGTGCTCTCCCTTAGTTGGTGACCTGAGGAAACCTCTGTGGCAAATTTCCTTGCCATCCTTCCCAGAATACGCACGTAACTACTCTCTCTCTCATTATCGGAAAAGGAGTAAGTCGACTTGTTGAATAAGATCAATATTTAATTCATTTCTAGCTCTTCTTAAGGCCACCGTGTGGTCAGCTAATTTTTTACCTCATCAGATTTCCAATCCACCCAATCTGTATATCACTCCAGAATTCTTAAAATAAGCTGGGTAGAGATTACACCCTGAGCAAGATATTTGCAATGATTTGGCATTAGTATAGGTCAGTAAGTCCCTATTAAAGCTCTTTTACAATCTGCCCACTGCCCACTATCCCTTTCTTCAACATTTTTTCTTTCCTAGAGAACTGTACTCACCCTACTCAACCCTACTCAGAAGCAAAACAGGTCTACTCATTCCCTCTTCTAGTGTGGCTGGCTAGAACTCTTCCTCCCCCCTGCAAGATCTCTCCAACCTTTATCTAGCTAAGTCCTGCTCAGATAACCCAGAAACTATCACTCCTATAATTGATGCCTCAGTTCTGTCTCCTCCACTATTGCCCCTCTACATTCTAATTAAATTATTGTGTAAACTCATAAATGATCTAAATTTTTCAGTTCAAAATTTTGGATTGAAAAGTGGGATAACAGAAATATCAAATAAGGGGAAGCTAGTTCAAAGCAGTGAAGATTTGTTTTTCAAGTCTCTAGGGAGGGTGGTGGAAACAAGTGTTTTCAGAACTAATATGGCACTGTCTTGTACCCTTTCTGGGTGCTTCTCATTTCCCAAGGAATAAGCTCTCAATGACAACATTGTTTCAGATATTTCATTTTACCATCACCATTTAGAACAAGCTATATGATTTACCAACAGAAGTTAATTGTTTGCTTAGCACTGTAACACATAAATACACCTTTAACTTCCACAATTCATGAGGGATATAAAATACTTAGAGAGGATTTAATCAATGAGTTCCTCAATCAAATATTTATCAAAACCCTGCTTGAGTCAAACAACTTTTAATACTGGACTATGTAGACACTCACTTCATCTCCCTCATTTCTTGGCCTCCAAAGCCCATTTTCCTAAGCAGTACTTTTTGGTTTGTGCCAAATATGACTCATAGTTCTTTGATACCTCTTAAACTTCTCTGATTTTTGGGAAGGAGTTCCTCCTCCTAGTGTCCTTAGCCACACTCTGCAATCACACCCATATTCTCAACAGCTGTCGGCACCAGCCAATGGGCAAGGCAGCAGCCTGAATGAACCAGAAGACGCTTCATCTTCCAAAAAGAAAGACAACTACTTCAGAAACCAGGTATCTGTGGAAAGAAATAAAAAAATCGATTCTCATCCTGCAACTTTATGAAATATTTTGTTTCCTTAATTGGTTACCTCAAATAGTGTTTAGGTTTTTTCCTTGAAGCTTTATGTCCAAACCATCTATCTAGCCAATTTTACAACTCTGACTACAGCATCGTTTCTGTAGGGACTACAGAACTTTGCCATTTTTATTGTGAAACCAGAAGGACTTCTCCCAGATCATCTTACACTCCACGATGCTAACAGCTGTGTTACCACAGTAGAGGTGAGTTCTTGGCTTCAGTCTAGGTTAATGACTTTAAGCCAAAGTGAACCTGAATACTTGGTCTGAAATACCAGACACCGTGTCAGCACTGATCCATCCCTGAGAACCTGATGTGGTGATATTTAAGAATTGTTACATATGGCTAAACATTTAATTTTACACATTGATTATTCTCTATACTCTGTTCTCATTCAGGGTTCTCTTTGCTTTTTTCTGCCACACTTACATTCATTCCCACATATTGTGCCAGCTGTCAGGAGCATACAAATGCCTCTTTCTTGCATTCAGTGACACAAACTTTCTCTATCCTGACAAGGGCATTGTATTAGAAATGTCATTTCCTTCTCTCATTTAATCACAGATTTTGATATTTTTTAAAAAGATTTATTTATTTATACATACAGAACTGGAGTACAGGCCAGGAGTGCGGGGTGGGGGTGGGGGGGAGGAGGTATGTGAAAGAATTCACCAGAGACAGAGTGGGGAGCAGAACAGGCAGATCCACGAAGTACACTGCTGAGGGGAGCAGCGGGCGGGTCAGGAGAGGTCTGCCATGCCATGTGGGTCATCTCCCTGGGTCAAACTCATGCTGCAGTGGCTATGGTAGCTTCGTAGTGCTGTGCTTTAACCCCTTGCACCACCAGGGAGGGCCCTTCTTTCACATTTTCTGTATCTTTCTCATAAAAATTCCTATGACTATACAACATTTTTTTTCCCACACAGAGCATACATTTCTTTATGACATGATGAAATTAGTGAAGAGATGTCTGCTTTAACTTTCAAAAATTGCAATAATGTCATGGCCCTAAAATAGCTAGTTCAATCATAGATGTGTATGTGTCACATGTACTTATGCGATCATCTTCAAGTCATACACAGACTCACTCAAATACAAATATATAAATGTCTTATATACTACAGACCTACCCGCACACAGACAAAATCTCCTATACTTTCTCCAACTCTTTTACATCTTAACTATGCTCTTCACAGCAGGACCACAGGGTGCCCACTTTGGTATTGTGTCCAACACTGAACAGCATTCAGATGAAGTACTTTACCAGAATAAAGCTGGACTTCAGAGGGTAGTACTGAAAATATTTTCTCTATACTTATATCATCTTATTTGAGGATACAGAATAAGCTTAATATGAAAACCTTTAAGAAAACTCTTTCTTCTAAGAATCCACACTTCTTTTCTATCCCTCAACACTGTTGTCTCCATCCCTATCTGGAGAGCAAAGGTGAATTGGTGGCCTCTTACAGCCCTTCATGGAAATAGATTAGGGTATTGAACACAGTAACTGTAAGACAAATAAACTTTTCTCTTCTTAGTACTGATCATCTCTCAACACAAAATGTCAACACACAATTATATTCTAAAGAACCAGAGCAGAAATGAAGGGATGGAGAAGGTAGAAAGGTAGACATCCTCTCCTACCACAAATATGTAACAGCTAGCTAGACAGCAGACACAGACGTCTATATAATTATTTGGGCCTCAAAACGTAAACTGCTATGACAATGGGAAGTGCAGCTCTAAGGGAATAGCCTGAGTGTGTCTTGAACACTGTGTAGCCTTTATGACAACAGTTACGGCCCCTGAAGTCTAAGCAGAATTTGACTAGTGTCTGAGATTTAATAAGGAAAGGCAATGGAAGACGGAGCAACAGAGAGTATAAAACCAGAAATGGAGTAAAGTCCAGTGCAAATGTCAGGATAATGTTCAGAGAATTTCACAACTAACCCAGCAACCCAGGATGGAGCCTTTAAGCCCGTTGCAACTTCCTATCAGAGTGTGAGCTCTCTGGGCCTCCCTAGTGGCACACGGGGCAAATTGCAATACTATGAAGCTGTCAGCAGCCACCGCAGCCAGCCAGGAAGCTGACCCACGTGGTGTGGTAGGCCTCTCCTCTCTCTCCTGCTGCTCCTCTCAGCAGTGTACTTCAGTAGATCTGCCTGTTCTGCTCCCTTCTCTGTCTCTGGTGAATCCTCTCACCAGCCCTGCAACTCTGGCCTACACCTTAGTTCTGTGTGCATAAACAAATCTTTAATAAAAGAAAAAAGAAAGTGAGCTCCTGCAAGGATCTAGGTTTTTCATTAGGAGAGGTGATCTGCTAATGGAATCCTGAGAGTTCCCGCACAGTCTTGCTGGGTGGGCAAAGTAAACAAGGCTCTTGCTGGTTTTTATTTGGGTTGTTTTTCTAGGAATATTTGTAGCAAGCAAGTTAGAAGGAAGATGTTTCCCCAGACAAAGTTGAGACTTATTACTCTTCGCTCAGGTGATCATGGCTGTAAGTACAGTAACTCCTCCAAGACAACTCCCTTCCAGTCATCTAGGTAGCTGCTATCCACATGTCATCATGTGGAATTTGGGAATCAGGAAAAACTGACACATGCAAACATGAAGCTCATGCTGTCTGCTGTGCCAGGAGAAATTAAGTCATTTGCTTTGACTCAAGAATCTGGTCTCTTACCAGCTTCTGTGACACAGTAACGGACTAGCTTATGAACTTCAAATTAGAGTAAAACTCCCTTGATTATTCTTCATAGTTCTCTTTACATCCCTGTAAAATTATACTCAGAAGGACAACTCAAATGGTTAAATTAGTTTCTTATTTAAAAAATTATTTGAATGTGTTTTATTCTACTATTCACTTCATGTATAGCGCTAAAATTCATCAAAATATATTTGGGAAATCATATGACATAATTTATTATTGATTAAAAGTTTGTGATTGGTGTTCACTGATGAAATTTAAGTGAAATGAAGTAAATAGGGTTTCCATGAGGAAATGATTTAATAACATCTGAATATGTACCTAATAATGTCTTAGCTACTATAGAATATTTACATAAATCATCAAATTTTTATGATATTACATATCATATATTTTAAATTTATGTGTTCAGTCCAAAAAACACTTTATGAAGACTATGCATACCAATTAATAATGAAATGAAAAAAACCACTCACCATTAATTTTTTCAGACTAGGATGTAGATGAGGAAAACTCAGGAAAAACATACAACTTAATTTCTTCTTCATCCTGTGGAAAAGATTGGTCTCAGATTTCCTGAGGCTATTTCCATTAAGAATTCAGGAGTAATCCTTTCATTTGTGTCTATAAGGGATTTACCAATAACCATTGATTAATCAACTTGTCAACATAATATTTACTCATTTATATATTAAAGAATAAAATAGTAGTTTGAGCTAACATTTTCCGGGTGTGTGTGTGCCAGTCTCTGAGCTATGTATGTCCTTCCACATAGAGAATGGTGCATAATCTCTTAGCAACACAAGGCCATTGCCAAACCTCTATAACTGACTCATTGTATTTTTCTCAGCATGATGCAATCTTTTTTGTATGTGGGCTCCACACCTTTCTAAATACTTACTAATGGATTGGAAAGGCAACATTTCCCCCCTCAGTGAGAGGCTATAGATAATGCTTTATCTGAAATGAAGAACTTCCTTTTCTTTTTTAAACTAACTTATTTGTTTATGGAGGTAACATTAGTTTCGAATACTGCATGTTTTAGAGGTAGAGAGAGGTTCACGCCTCTTCAAAGGTCACCACACCACACCCATCACCAAAACAACAATAATCCTCCATCATAGTTCATTAGGTCCATTCCTCCCTCAGTGTTCCCATCTCACCCTCTCCCTCTGGTACCCTCAGGAGAACTTCCTTTTCATTTAAAAAAATGCGGAAACTGTAAGCTATCAGCAGCAACATAAAGAACACTGGGATAAAACTTGAGGGGGCCAAATGGATTGTTAATATTTAATCCAAATTTTTAAATGTGATGATTGCCTTGCAATGATTTTACTAAGTAATCTTCTCTAGATGTCTACAACTATACTGATGAAAGGCACTTCACCGTAAAGAAAGAATGAGACTCAGGAGATAAACTTATCATACTTGCTAACCACCAATCTTCCTCCCAGCAATTCACTCATAGGATTCTGGAGCCTGATGTAGACAGATATGGCCATTAAAACCCAATCTTTATAGATGAATATCAAATAAAACATTTAGATTCCTGATTATCTCATTTGATTGAAAAAATAACACCCTATGAAGAAAAAGAGACATGGAGGTTTCCTAGCATGCGTTACACCTAATAATGATAAAAGACTTACTAAAATACAAAAATGTAATGTACTTTCTGGATCATTGCATAACCAGTATAACAAATACTATGTAGATTTGCCTTACTTCTGCTCTGAATAGTATTTTCAGAGATGATCAATGACCTCATTATAGGACAGTACAATTGTCTTCCTTTGGGCTTCATTTTTCAAAAGTATTCTCACACCTACTTTGTTGAATATACAGACTTCTTTCCCTACTTCCTACATGTTACAATCATAGGAAGCCTGTGCCACAAACCTGTCACCACCTGTAGAGGGTTGAAGAAGTTTTTTTTTTTGTGCATATAAGAACTGGGGTGAAGGCCAAGGTGCAGGGCAGATGTCTCTTCACCAGAGACAGAGTGGGGAGCAGAACAGGCAGATCTACTGAAATACACTGTGAGGGATGCAGTGGGAAAGACAGGAGAGGTCTACTGAGCCTTGTGGGTCAGCTCACTGGCCAAGGGTCGAACACTGGCCATAGTGGTGACAGCACTTAGACTTAACCCCTAGACCACCAGATAGGTCAAGGGTTCAAGACCTTGGATGGTAAAGGTTATTTCTTATTCCCGTAGTTTTGTATAATACAATATGTTATGTATAATACAATATATCTTTTCATTACATAGCTCAGTGTTCAGAATATCTGATTAGTAAATGTTGGCTGAATAAATAAGTCCACCTTAATTCTCAACTTAGAGGTCTATTATTTCTATAAAAGCATCTTTGCCTTTTACAGACATACAGATATCCAAATATAGCTGTGCATTCATCCACTCCCTCTGGATCTTGAGTCTTTCAAGTCCAACTCGTTTCTGGATATTTCCTCTGGATGTTCTGCAAGTCCACAATTTCAACA